AAAACGTGGTCAAAACGATGCCTTCGGAGAAACGGGAGAACGAGTGGAGCCAGAATTTCGTTCCTATACCTTTTTGCATTTAGGTTACCTTCAATAATTGTCAGATCGGTGCGTTCCTGGTAGGTTATTCCGTCCCATACAATAATTCCGCCACCCTCAAACAGATCCGTTTCCTGTACGCACGCATCAGAAAATCATGCATTGCACCTCCGGTAGACACTGGCTTTGCCGTCGCTAAATGTCAAGTTGAATTTCTATTCATCGGTAAAAAGGACTTGTCTCCATGTTAGCCTATTCCATCGAATCCGTACCCGAGTCCATTCAAGTCGTGACATCCTGTGACGTTGCGTAAGGATAGGTCCCTTCAACGGACGATGAGCTCTTAGGCAAACTTGATGCAGTCGATTACAAACTGTTAGAGAATAAAGCCTGTTTTTGTTTCTTCCATGAGTTTGTCGTGCTGTTTGTGACAAGTTTACAAATCGATTCCGGAGATGAATAATGCGGATGTGACTGATTTGCCGTAACTTCGTTTCACGTTGCCTGCAACCTCGGGGACGATTATTTGTCGTGCCAGTATCTCTAAGACGAGTCTTAAGCCTTTCAATATTCATTCTAGAGACATTGGGATGATTTGCAACCTGTATTAGAGTCATTTTTGCTGCCAAAAACACAATAGCTCGTTCTCTCTCATTATGACGTAGACGTGGAATTGACTTACGTGTAACTTTTTCAATTTTTTAATGCGACCTTTTGTTAACAATAGTGCTCGACACATTTAATGACCAAAAGGACAACTCAATTCCATCTTGATACAGGTAAATGTTTGAAAAAATGCTTATTTGTTTAAAATCAGAAAATGACGTAACGTCGTCTTCGAATTTTTAACAAATTAGTAAATGATAGATAAATCATTCAGGTCACTAGTTTTAATCTTGAAAATATTATAAATTAATATATGTAAATTCTTTTAATTAAAAGCCAGGGTAACGTTTCTATTTTTGCCTAGTAAACATTTATTTATATCAGACAACGCACGCACGTGGACGATGGTACTTATACCGTCTTTAAGAATGTGGCGCTTGGATTGTCAATGATAAAGTTAACTGGTCTGTATGTAGTTTTACTATCATATCTTTTTAACAACTCAGTACTCTTTGTCGATTTTGTTTTATTCTGGTACAAAACCTCTGATATAAATAGACTTTTGAAAATAATACAAAGTAGACTGTCTATTAAGTCTGTAATAGTATATAGATTTTTAGGTTGTATACCAGCTGGCCTTCGCACTAAAGTTCTTTCATCTTCATCGTTTTCTTCTTCGAAATACCCTTGAAAAAAATTCAGCCAGTGTTCAGCCTTCTTTTTATCAGTACTTACATAACACATTTTACAATCTCTTTCGTCATATAATTCGGATGGGGGAATTTGGATTTTCATTTCGACTTCATATGACAAGAAATTCTTCTTTGCTGACTCTAATATGTCTTTTTCACGATTTTCACGTTCTTGTTTGACATTTGAGTTGGCTTTGTTCCTCACTAAATTTTAGTTCCTTTCGACATAATTAAACATAGGACCTCTTGAAGCTTTGCGCAAACTATGCGCCTGTGTGCACTCTACAAGACCTTTATAGTCTTACCCCGCGACATCCCTCACTATTTTTTCCAGAGGCTATGGAATAGGCAAATTCCAGTTGTTTTTCCCAAATTTTTTTTGAAATTCCGAGCCCTAGTTTCAGTTTTTGGACAAAGCCCAACTCGAAACCTTGCGCAAACCATGCGCCTGTTTCCTCTCTACAACACCTATATAGCTATACCCCGTGAAACTCCACATTATTTTTTTCTCTAGAAGCCATTGAATAGGTGTAATACCACCAATTAATGCATGGTACGTCACATCCGGTTGCATACGAAAATAGGTCGAAAAAATATTCCCTGGAATTTGACAGTTGTAGGTAATTAATTCATCATTTTATTGCAGTAAAAATTTCTGGGTCATAAACATATATATGTATCTTGGGTATTTCAAAGCATCATTTTTTTTTATTTTGGGTTTCTGTAGAATATTTTGGAAACTTGAGGTTGCATGGTTACTAAAGCTTGTACACAGATTATATAAGGGGGGAAATTTGATTGGTTAACTGACAGTTATGGTTATTTTCTTATATGCAATGAAATTTTATGTGAATTTTTTTCTATAGTACTGGACAGGATAAAACTTTACTCATCCCAAGTATTTTTTTAATTTGAAATAAAGATAAATTCTGCACAATTTTTTGAAAAGTGCAAATTTTAAAAAGACTAATAGGGGAAAATCAATGGTGGTATTATACCTAATATGGGGTGCTGTATATGCACCTTTGACCTTGTGAGTACTCTCATGTGTTAAAATTTCTTGCTATTCAAGTGAAATATTACAAATAATGAAATATTCTGAGTGGATTGAGTCTCCAAAACATATTTTATGAGAACATTTCCTTGAAATTGAACTCTTCCATGAATATTAGTTAACAGAACAAGCCATACTTTACGGTGTATTTGGGAGCTTTTTCTCCTTTTTTTCTTATATTCTGCTATATTAGAAAGTTTTCTCTCAGAAATATTTTAATAAATATATAATTATAAGTAAATGTGATTATTTTTTAAAGCAGTACCAACAAATTATTCACTAATAGAGAAGCTTTTTATGTCCCTCTCTGGAACGCAGCGTAAATTTAAGTTTTACGTAAGGACTTATTAAAACCTCCAGTAAACTTTTATATGGATTGTTCATTCTGCTTGAATACTTCAATTACTCAATGTAATTTATTATAACATTTCTATCATAAATGAGTGAAAGTTACTTCATTATTTTTAATTATTGGCCTGAAAAGTTGAAATTTTGAGGAAATGACATGTATAAATGGACCAAAAGAGACCTTATCAAGAAGACAAAGGATCCATTAGTGGTATTTATCATCCTAAAGTCATCTTTTGTATCAAATTCAACTGTTTGTAGACAGATGAGATAAATATTTAATCATTATTGGTCCACACTATATTCTATCATGATGCGGCTTGGTTTTGATTTTTCGAAGAAATTTTGCACGAATCGCTGAAGATGTCGTCGTACATCATACTAGATTTTTCTCAAACTATTGAAATGATTATGACAAAACATGACAGGAATGCTTGAAAAAAACAGTATTACAAAGGAAAAAATCCCTTTCAGTTTATTGAATAAAAATGTCTTCTTCAGGTGTAATACCACCAAATCATGGCACGTCACATCCGGTTGCATACAAAAATAGGTCGAAAAAAATATTCCCTTGAATTTGACAGTTGTAGGTAATTAATCCATCATTTTATTGCAGTAAAATATTTCTGGGTCATAAACATATACATGTATCTTGGGTATTTCAAAGAATCATTATTGTTTTATTTGGGGTTTCTATAGAATATTTTGGAAACTTGAGGTTGCATGGTTACTAAAGCTTGTACACAGGTTAAATAAGGGGCAAATTTGATTGGTTAACTGACAGTGATAGTTATTTTCTTATATGCAATGAAATGTTATGTTAATTTTTTAATTTGAAACAAAGATAAATTCTCCACATTTTTTTGAAAACTGCAAATTTAAAAAAAAAAAAAAAAAGAAAATCAATGGAGGTATTACACCAATAGGCCAACCCCCTCTGTTTTTTCCTTTTTTTTTTAACTTTTGAGCCCTAGTTTCAGATTTTTTAACATAGCGCCATTCGATACCTTGCGCAAAAGATGCGCATGTTTCTTCTCTACAAGACCTATATAGTCCTATCCCGTGACACCCCTCATTATTTTTCTCTAGAAGCCATAGAATAGGCCAACCCCCCTGTTTTTAACAATTTTTTTTCAAATTTTGAGCTCTAGTTTCAGATTTTTGAACATAGCGCCCTTCAATACCTTGCGCAAGAGATGCGCCTGTTTCTCCTCTACAAGACCTATATAGTCATACCCCGTGACACCCTCAATATTTTTCTCTAGAAGCCATTGAATAGGCTAACCCCATGTTTTTAACAATTTTTTTTTCAAATTTTGAGCTCTAGTTTCAGATTTTTGAACATAACGCCCTTCGATATCTTGCGCAAAAGATGCGCCTGTTTCTCCTCTACAAGAACTTTATAGTCATACTCCGTGAAACCCCTCATTATTTTTCTGTAGAAGCCATTGAATAGGCCAACCCCCCTGTTTTTAACAAATTTTTTTTTAAATTTTGAGCTCTAGTTTCAGATTTTTGAACATAGCGCCCTTCGATACCTTGCGCAAAAGATGCGCCTGTTTCTCCTCTACAAGACCTATATAGTCATACCCCGTGACACTCCTCATTATTTTCTCTAGAAGCCATCGAATAGGCCAACTCCCCTGTTTTTAACACTTTTTTTTCAAATTTTGAGCTCTAGTTTCAGATTTTTGAACATAGCGCCCTTCGATACCTTAAGCAAAAGATGCGCGTGTTTCTCTTCTACAAGACCTATATAGTCATACCCCGTGACACCCCTCATTATTTTTCTCTAGAAGCCATGGAATAGGCCATTCCCCCTGTTTTTAACAAATATTTTTCAAATTTTGAGCTGTAGTTTCAGATTTTTGAACATAGCGCCCTATAATACCTTGCGCAAGAGATGCGCCTGTTTCTCCTCTACAAGACCTATATAGTCATACCCCGTGACACCCCTCATTATTTTTCTCTAGAAACCATGGAATAGGCCAACCCCCCTGTTTTAACATTTTTTTTTCAAATTTTGAGCTCTAGTTTCATATTTTTGAACATAGTGCCCTAGAATACCTTGCGCAAGAGATGCGCCTGTTTCTCCTCTACAAGACCTATATAGTCATACCCCGTGACACCCCTCGTTATTTTTCTCTAGAAGCCATGGAATAGGCCAACACCCCTGTTTTTAACAATTTTTTTCAAATTTTGAGCTCTAGTTTCAGATTTTTGAACATAGCGCCCTTCAAAACCTTGCTCAAGATATGCGCCTGTTTCTCCTCTACAAAACCTATATAGTCATACCCCGTGACACCCCTCGTTATTTTTCTCTACAAGCCATGGAATAGGCCAACCCCCCTGTTTTTAACAATTTGTTTTCAAATTTTGAGCTCTAGTTTCAGATTTTTGAACATAGCGCCCTTCGATACCTTGCGCAAAAGATGTGCCTGTTTCTCTTCTACAAGACCTATATAGTCATACCCCGTGACACCTCTCATTATTTTTCTTTGGAAGCCATGGAATAGGCCAACCCCCCTGTTTTTAACAATTTATTTTTCAAATTTTGAGCTCTAGTTTCAGATTTTTGAACATAGCGCCCTTCAATACCTTGCGCAAAAGATGCGCCTGTTTCTCCTCTACAAGGCCTATATAGTCATACCCCGTGACACCTCTTAATATTTTTCTCTAGAAGCCATGGAATAGGCCAACCCCCCTGTTTTTAACATTTTTTTTTCAAATTTTGAGCTCTAGTTTCAGATTTTTGAACATAGCGCCCTTCAATACCTTGCACAAAAGATGCGCCTGTTTCTCTTCTACAAGACCTATATAGACATACCCCGTGACACCCCTCATTATTTTTCGCTAGAAACCAAGGAATAGGCCAACCCCCCTGTTTTTAACAATTTTTTTCAAATTTTGAGCTCTAGTTTCAGATTTTTTAACATAGCGCCCTTCAAAACCTTGCGCAAGAGATGCGCCTGTTTCTCCTCTACAAGACCTATGTTGTCATACCCCGTGACACCTCTCATTATTTTTCTTTGGAAGCCATGGAATAGGCCAACCCCCCTGTTTTTAACAATTTATTTTTCAAATTTTGAGCTCTAGTTTCAGATTTTTGAACATAGCGCCCTTCAATACCTTGCGCAAAAGATGCGCCTGTTTCTCCTCTACAAGGCCTATATAGTCATACCCCGTGACACCTCTCATTTTTTTTCTCTAGAAGCCATGGAATAGGCCAACCCCCCTGTTTTTAACATTTTTTTTTCAAATTTTGAGCTGTAGTTTCAGATTTTTGAACATAGCGCCCTTCAATACCTTGCACAAAAGATGCGCCTGTTTCTCCTCTACAAGACCTATATTGTCATACCCCGTGACACTCCTCATTATTTTTCTCTAGAAGCCATGGAATAGGCCAACCCCCCTGTTTTTAACACTTTTTTTTCAAATTTTGAGCTCTAGTTTCAGATTTTTTAACATAGCGCCCTTCGATACCTTGCGCAAAAGATGCGCCTGTTTCTCCTCTTCAAGACCTATATAGATATACCCCGTGACACCCCTCATTATTTTTCTCTAGAAACCAAGGAATAGGCCAACCCCCCTGTTTTTAACAATTTTTTTCAAATTTTGAGCTCTAGTTTCAGATTTTTTAACATAGCGCCCTTCGATACCTTGCGCAAAAGATGCGCCTGTTTCTCTTCTACAAGACCTATATAGTCATACCCCGTGACACCCCTCATTATTTTTCTGTAGAAGCCATGGAATAGGCCAACCCCCCTGTTTTTAACAATTTATTTTTCAAATTTTGAGCTCTAGTTTCAGATTTTTGAACATAGCGCCCTTCGATACCTTGCGCAAAAGATGCGCCTGTTTCTCCTCTACAAGGCCTATATAGTCATACCCCGTGACACCTCTCATTATTTTTCTCTAGAAGCCATGGAATAGGCCAACCCCCCTGTTTTGAAAACTTTTTTTTTCAAATTTTGAGCTCTAGTTTCAGATTTTTGAACATAGCGCCCTTCGATACCTTGCGCAAAAGATGCGCCTGTTTCTTCTCTACAAGACCTATATAGTCATACCCCGTGACACCCCTCATTATTTTTCTCTAGAAACCATGGAATTGGCCAACCCCCGTGTTTTTAACAATTTTTTTTCAAATTTTGAGCTCTAGTTTCAGATTTTTGAACATAGCGCCCTTCGATACCTCGCACAAGAGATGCGCCTGTTTCTCTTCTACAAGACCTATATAGTCATACCCCGTGACATCCCTCATTATTTTTCTCTAGAAGCCATAGAATAGGCCAACCCCCCTGTTTTTAACACTTTTTTTCAAATTTTGAGCTCTAGTTTCAGATTTTTGAACATAGCGCCCTTCGATACCTTGCGCAAAAGATGCGCCTGTTTCTCCTCTACAAGACCTATATAGACATACCCCGTGACATCCCTCATTATTTTTCTTTAGAAGCCATGGAATAGGCCAACCCCCCTGTTTTTAACAATTTTTTTCAAAATTTGAGCTCTAGTTTCAGATTTTTGAACATAGCGCCTTTCGAAACCTTGCGCAAGAGATGCGCCTGTTTCTCTTCTGCAAGACCTATATTGTCATACCCCGTGACGCCCCTCATTATTTTTCTGTAGAAGCCATGGAATAGGCCAACCCCCTGTTTTTAACATTTTTTTTCAAATTTTAGCTCTAGTTTCAGATTTTTGAACATAGCGCTCTTCGATACCTTGCGCAAAAGATGCGCCTGTTTCTCTCCTACAAGACCTATATAGTCATACCCCGTGACACCCCTCATTATTTTTCCCTAGAAGCATTGAATAGGCCAACCCCCTGTTTTTAACAATTTTTTTTTCAAATTTTGAGCTCTAGTTTCAGATTTTTGAACATAGCGCCCTTCGATACCTTGCGCAAAAGATGCGCCTGTTTCTCTTCTTCAAGACCTATATAGTCATACCCCGTGACACCCCTCATTATTTTTCTCTAGAAACCATGGAATAGGCCAACCCCCCTGTTTTTAACAAATTTTTTTCAAATTTTGAGCTCTAGTTTCAGATTTTTTAACATAGCGCCCTTCGATACCTCGCACAAGAGATGCGCCTGTTTCTCCTCTACAAGACCTATATAGTCATACCCCGTGACATCCCTCATTATTTTTCTCTAGAAGCCATAGAATAGGCCAACCCCCCTGTTTTTAACACTTTTTTTTTTCAAATTTTGAGCTCTAGTTTCAGATTTTTTTACATAGCGCCCTTCGATACCTCGCACAAGAGATGTGCCTGTTTCTCCTCTACAAGACCTATATAGACATACCCCGTGACATCCCTCAATTTTTTTCTCTAGAAGCCAAGGAATAGGCCAACCCCCCTGTTTTTAACATTTTTTTTCAAAATTTGAGCTCTAGTTTCAGATTTTTGAACATAGCGCCTTTCGAAACCTTGCGCAAGAGATGCGCCTGTTTCTCTTCTACAAGACCTATATTGTCATACCCCGTGACGCCCCTCATTATTTTTCTGTAGAAGCCATGGAATAGGCCAACCCCCTGTTTTTAACATTTTTTTTCAAATTTTAGCTCTAGTTTCAGATTTTTGAACATAGCGCCCTTCGATACCTTGCGCAAAAGATGCGCCTGTTTCTCTCCTACAAGACCTATATAGTCATACCCCGTGACACCCCTCATTATTTTTCCCTAGAAGCATTGAAAAGGCCAACCCCCTGTTTTAACAATTTTTTTTTCAAATTTTGAGCTCTAGTTTCAGATTTTTGAACATAGCGCCCTTCGATATCTTGCGCAAGAGATGCGCCTGTTTCTCCTCTACAAGACCTATATAGTCATACCCCGTGACATCCTTCATTATTTTTCTCTAGAAGCCATGGAATAGGCCAACCCCCTGTTTTTAATATTATTTTTTTCAAATTTTGAGCTCTAGTTTCAGATTTTTGAACATAGCGCCCTTCGTTACCTTGCGCAAAAGATGCGCTTGTTTCTCCTCTACAAGACCTATATAGTCATACCCCGTGACACTCCTCATTATTTTTCTCTAGAAACCATGGAATTGGCCAACCCCCGTGTTTTTAACAATTTTTTTTCAAATTTTGAGCTCTAGTTTCAGATTTTTGAACATAGCGCCCTTCGATACCTCGCACAAGAGATGCGCCTGTTTCTCCTCTACAAGACCTATATAGTCATACCCCGTGACATCCCTCATTATTTTTCTCTAGAAGCCATAGAATAGGCCAACCCCCCTGTTTTTAACATTTTTTTTCAAATTTTGAGCTCTAGTTTCAGATTTTTGAACATAGCGCCCTTCGATACCTTGCGCAAAAGATGCGCCTGTTTCTCTTCTTCAAGACCTATATAGTCATACCCCGTGACACCCCTCATTATTTTTCTCTAGAAACCATGGAATAGGCCAACCCCCCTGTTTTTAACAAATTTTTTTCAAATTTTGAGCTCTAGTTTCAGATTTTTGAACATAGCGCCCTTCGATATCTTGCGCAAGAGATGCGCCTGTTTCTCCTCTACAAGACCTATATAGTCATACCCCGTGACATCCTTCATTATTTTTCTCTAGAAGCCATGGAATAGGCCAACCCCCTGTTTTTAATATTATTTTTTTCAAATTTTGAGCTCTAGTTTCAGCTTTTTGAACATAGCGCCCTTCGTTACCTTGCGCAAAAGATGCGCTTGTTTCTCCTCTACAAGACCTATATAGTCATAACCCGTGACACCCCTCATTATTTTTCTGTAGAAGCCATGGAATAGGCCATTCCCCCTGTTTTTAACAATTTTTTTTAAATTTTGAGCTCTAGTATCAGATTTTTGAACATAGCGCCCTTCGATACCTTGCGCAAAAGATGCGCCTGTTTCTCCTCTACAAGACCTATATAGTCATACCCCGTGACACCCCTCATTATTTTTCTTTGGAAGCCATGGAATAGGCCAACCCCCCTGTTTTTAACAATTTATTTTTCAAATTTTGAGCTCTAGTTTCAGATTTTTGAACATAGCGCCCTTCGATATCTTGCGCAAGAGATGCGCCTGTTTCTCCTCTACAAGACCTATATAGTCATACCCCGTGACATCCTTCATTATTTTTCTCTAGAAGCCATGGAATAGGCCAACCCCCTGTTTTTAATATTATTTTTTTCAAATTTTGAGCTCTAGTTTCAGATTTTTGAACATAGTGCCCTTCGTTACCTTGCGCAAAAGATGCGCTTGTTTCTCCTCTACAAGACCTATATAGTCATACCCCGTGACACCCCTCATTATTTTTCTCTAGAAGCCATGGAATAGGCCATTCCTCCTGTTTTTAACAATTTTTTTTAAATTTTGAGCTCTAGTTTCAGATTTTTGAACATAGCGCCCTTCGATACCTTGCGCAAAAGATGCGCCTGTTTCTCCTCTACAAGACCTATATAGTCATACCCCGTGACACCCCTCATTATTTTTCTCAAGAAGCCATGGAATAGGCCAACCCCCCTGTTTTTAACAATTTATTTTTCAAATTTTGAGCTCTAGTTTCAGATTTTTGAACATAGCGCCCTTCGATACCTTGCGCAAATGATGCGCCTGTTTCTCCTCTACAAGACCTATATAGTCATACCCCGTGACACCCCTCATTATTTTTCTCTAGAAACCATGGAATTGGCCAACCCCCGTGTTTTTAAAAAATTTTTTTCAAATTTTGAGCTCTAGTTTCAGATTTTTGAACATAGCGCCCTTCGATACCTCGCACAAGAGATGCGCCTGTTTCTCCTCTACGAGACCTATATAGTCATACCCCGTGACATCCCTCATTATTTTTCTCTAGAAGCCATAGAATAGGCCAACCCCCCTGTTTTTAACAATTTTTTTCAAATTTTGAGCTCTAGTTTCAGATTTTTGAACATAGCGCCCTTCGATACCTTGCGCAAAAGATGCGCCTGTTTCTCCTCTACAAGACCTATATAGACATACCCCGAGACATCCCTCATTATTTTTCTCTAGAAGCCATGGAATAGGCCAACCCCCTGTTTTTAACACTTTTTTTTCAAATTTTGAGCTCTAGTTTCAGATTTTTGAACATAGCGCCTTTCGAAACCTTGCGCAAGAGATGCGCCTGTTTCTCTTCTACAAGACCTATATTGTCATACCCCGTGACACCCCTCATTATTTTTCTGTAGAAGCCATGGAATAGGCCAACCCCCCTGTTTTTAACATTTTTTTTCAAATTTTAGCTCTAGTTTCAGATTTTTGAACATAGCGCCCTTCGATACCTTGCGCAAAAGATGCGCCTGTTTCTCTCCTACAAGACCTATATAGACATACCCCGTGACATCCCTCATTATTTTTCTCTAGAAGCCATATAATAGGCCAACCCCCCTGTTTTTAACAATTTTTTTAAAAATTTGAGCTCTAGTTTCAGATTTTTGAACATAGCGCCTTTCGAAACCTTGCGCAAGAGATGCGCCTGTTTCTCTTCTACGAGACCTATATTGTCATACCCCGTGACGCCCCTCATTATTTTTCTGTAGAAGCCATGGAATAGGCCAACCCCCTGTTTTTAACATTTTTTTTCAAATTTTAACTCTAGTTTCAGATTTTTGAACATAGCGCCCTTCGATACCTTGCGTAAAAGATGCGCCTGTTTCTCTCCTACAAGACCTATATAGTCATACCCCGTGACACCCCTCATTATTTTTCCCTAGAAGCATTGAATAGGCCAACCCCCTGTTTTTAACAATTTTTTTTTCAAATTTTGAGCTCTAGTTTCAGATTTTTGAACATAGCGCCCTTCGATACCTTGCGCAAAAGATGCGCCTGTTTCTCTTCTTCAAGACCTATATAGTCATACCCCGTGACACCCCTCATTATTTTTCTCTAGAAACCATGGAATAGGCCAACCCCCCTGTTTTTAACAAATTTTTTTCAAATTTTGAGCTCTAGTTTCAGATTTTTGAACATAGCGCCCTTCGATATCTTGCGCAAGAGATGCGCCTGTTTCTCCTCTACAAGACCTATATAGTCATACCCCGTGACATCCTTCATTATTTTTCTCTAGAAGCCATGGAATAGGCCAACCCCCTGTTTTTAATATTATTTTTTTCAAATTTTGAGCTCTAGTTTCAGATTTTTGAACATAGCGCCTTTCGAAACCTTGCGCAAGAGATGCGCCTGTTTCTCTTCTACAAGACCTATATTGTCATACCCCGTGACACCCCTCATTATTTTTCTGTAGAAGCCATGGAATAGGCCAACCCCCCTGTTTTTAACATTTTTTTTCAAATTTTAGCTCTAGTTTCAGATTTTTGAACATAGCGCCCTTCGATACCTTGCGCAAAAGATGCGCCTGTTTCTCTCCTACAAGACCTATATAGACATACCCCGTGACATCCCTCATTATTTTTCTCTAGAAGCCATATAATAGGCCAACCCCCCTGTTTTTAACAATTTTTTTAAAAATTTGAGCTCTAGTTTCAGATTTTTGAACATAGCGCCTTTCGAAACCTTGCGCAAGAGATGCGCCTGTTTCTCTTCTACGAGACCTATATTGTCATACCCCGTGACGCCCCTCATTATTTTTCTGTAGAAGCCATGGAATAGGCCAACCCCCTGTTTTTAACATTTTTTTTCAAATTTTAGCTCTAGTTTCAGATTTTTGAACATAGCGCCCTTCGATACCTTGCGTAAAAGATGCGCCTGTTTCTCTCCTACAAGACCTATATAGTCATACCCCGTGACACCCCTCATTATTTTTCCCTAGAAGCATTGAATAGGCCAACCCCCTGTTTTTAACAATTTTTTTTTCAAATTTTGAGCTCTAGTTTCAGATTTTTGAACATAGTGCCCTTCGTTACCTTGCGCAAAAGATGCGCTTGTTTCTCCTCTACAAGACCTATATAGTCATACCCCGTGACACCCCTCATTATTTTTCTCTAGAAGCCATGGAATAGGCCATTCCTCCTGTTTTTAACAATTTTTTTTAAATTTTGAGCTCTAGTTTCAGATTTTTGAACATAGCGCCCTTCGATACCTTGCGCAAAAGATGCGCCTGTTTCTCCTCTACAAGACCTATATAGTCATACCCCGTGACACCCCTCATTATTTTTCTCAAGAAGCCATGGAATAGGCCAACCCCCCTGTTTTTAACAATTTATTTTTCAAATTTTGAGCTCTAGTTTCAGATTTTTGAACATAGCGCCCTTCGATACCTTGCGCAAATGATGCGCCTGTTTCTCCTCTACAAGACCTATATAGTCATACCCCGTGACACCCCTCATTATTTTTCTCTAGAAACCATGGAATTGGCCAACCCCCATGTTTTTAAAAATTTTTTTTCAAATTTTGAGCTCTAGTTTCAGATTTTTGAACATAGCGCCCTTCGATACCTCGCACAAGAGATGCGCCTGTTTCTCCTCTACGAGACCTATATAGTCATACCCCGTGACATCCCTCATTATTTTTCTCTAGAAGCCATAGAATAGGCCAACCCCCCTGTTTTTAACAATTTTTTTCAAATTTTGAGCTCTAGTTTCAGATTTTTGAACATAGCGCCCTTCGATACCTTGCGCAAAAGATGCGCCTGTTTCTTCTCTACAAGACCTATATAGACATACCCCGAGACATCCCTCATTATTTTTCTCTAGAAGCCATGGAATAGGCCAACCCCCTGTTTTTAACACTTTTTTTTCAAATTTTGAGCTCTAGTTTCAGATTTTTGAACATAGCGCCTTTCGAAACCTTGCGCAAGAGATGCGCCTGTTTCTCTTCTACAAGACCTATATTGTCATACCCCGTGACACCCCTCATTATTTTTCTGTAGAAGCCATGGAATAGGCCAACCCCCCTGTTTTTAACATTTTTTTTCAAATTTTAGCTCTAGTTTCAGATTTTTGAACATAGCGCCCTTCGATACCTTGCGCAAAAGATGCGCCTGTTTCTCTCCTACAAGACCTATATAGACATACCCCGTGACATCCCTCATTATTTTTCTCTAGAAGCCATATAATAGGCCAACCCCCCTGTTTTTAACAATTTTTTTAAAAATTTGAGCTCTAGTTTCAGATTTTTGAACATAGCGCCTTTCGAAACCTTGCGCAAGAGATGCGCCTGTTTCTCTTCTACGAGACCTATATTGTCATACCCCGTGACGCCCCTCATTATTTTTCTGTAGACGCCATGGAATAGGCCAACCCCCTGTTTTTAACATTTTTTTTCAAATTTTAGCTCTAGTTTCAGATTTTTGAACATAGCGCCCTTCGATACCTTGCGTAAAAGATGCGCCTGTTTCTCTCCTACAAGACCTATATAGTCATACCCCGTGACACCCCTCATTATTTTTCCCTAGAAGCATTGAATAGGCCAACCCCCTGTTTTTAACAATTTTTTTTTCAAATTTTGAGCTCTAGTTTCAGATTTTTGAACATAGCGCCCTTCGATACCTTGCGCAAAAGATGCGCCTGTTTCTCTTCTTCAAGACCTATATAGTCATACCCCGTGACACCCCTCATTATTTTTCTCTAGAAACCATGGAATAGGCCAACCCCCCTGTTTTTAACAAATTTTTTTCAAATTTTGAGCTCTAGTTTCAGATTTTTGAACATAGCGCCCTTCGATATCTTGCGCAAGAGATGCGCCTGTTTCTCCTCTACAAGACCTATATAGTCATACCCCGTGACATCCTTCATTATTTTTCTCTAGAAGCCATGGAATAGGCCAACCCCCTGTTTTTAATATTATTTTTTTCAAATTTTGAGCTCTAGTTTCAGCTTTTTGAACATAGCGCCCTTCGTTACCTTGCGCAAAAGATGCGCTTGTTTCTCCTCTACAAGACCTATATAGTCATAACCCGTGACACCCCTCATTATTTTTCTGTAGAAGCCATGGAATAGGCCATTCCCCCTGTTTTTAACAATTTTTTTTAAATTTTGAGCTCTAGTATCAGATTTTTGAACATAGCGCCCTTCGATACCTTGCGCAAAAGATGCGCCTGTTTCTCCTCTACAAGACCTATATAGTCATACCCCGTGACACCCCTCATTATTTTTCTTTGGAAGCCATGGAATAGGCCAACCCCCCTGTTTTTAACAATTTATTTTTCAAATTTTGAGCTCTAGTTTCAGATTTTTGAACATAGCGCCCTTCGATATCTTGCGCAAGAGATGCGCCTGTTTCTCCTCTACAAGACCTATATAGTCATACCCCGTGACATCCTTCATTATTTTTCTCTAGAAGCCATGGAATAGGCCAACCCCCTGTTTTTAATATTATTTTTTTCAAATTTTGAGCTCTAGTTTCAGATTTTTGAACATAGTGCCCTTCGTTACCTTGCGCAAAAGATGCGCTTGTTTCTCCTCTACAAGACCTATATAGTCATACCCCGTGACACCCCTCATTATTTTTCTCTAGAAGCCATGGAATAGGCCATTCCTCCTGTTTTTAACAATTTTTTTTAAATTTTGAGCTCTAGTTTCAGATTTTTGAACATAGCGCCCTTCGATACCTTGCGCAAAAGATGCGCCTGTTTCTCCTCTACAAGACCTATATAGTCATACCCCGAGACACCCCTCATTATTTTTCTCAAGAAGCCATGGAATAGGCCAACCCCCCTGTTTTTAACAATTTATTTTTCAAATTTTGAGCTCTAGTTTCAGATTTTTGAACATAGCGCCCTTCGATACCTTGCGCAAATGATGCGCCTGTTTCTCCTCTACAAGACCTATATAGTCATACCCCGTGACACCCCTCATTATTTTTCTCTAGAAACCATGGAATTGGCCAACCCCCGTGTTTTTAAAAAATTTTTTTCAAATTTTGAGCTCTAGTTTCAGATTTTTGAACATAGCGCCCTTCGATACCTCGCACAAGAGATGCGCCTGTTTCTCCTCTACGAGACCTATATAGTCATACCCCGTGACATCCCTCATTATTTTTCTCTAGAAGCCATAGAATAGGCCAACCCCCCTGTTTTTAACAATTTTTTTCAAATTTTGAGCTCTAGTTTCAGATTTTTGAACATAGCGCCCTTCGATACCTTGCGCAAAAGATGCGCCTCTTTCTCCTCTACAAGACCTATATAGACATACCCCGAGACATCCCTCATTATTTTTCTCTAGAAGCCATGGAATAGGCCAACCCCCTGTTTTTAACACTTTTTTTTTCAAATTTTGAGCTCTAGTTTCAGATTTTTGAACATAGCGCCTTTCGAAACCTTGCGCAAGAGATGCGCCTGTTTCTCTTCTACAAGACCTATATTGTCATACCCCGTGACACCCCTCATTATTTTTCTGTAGAAGCCATGGAATAGGCCAACCCCTCAGTTTTTAACATTTTTTTTCAAATTTTAGCTCTAGTTTCAGATTTTTGAACATAGCGCCCTTCGATACCTT